ACAAATGCAAATAAAAAAGTTGTTATGTTGCATCCTATGTGTATAACCTTTAACCCCTTATATCTCAATTCTTGTATTTTATACTTGTATTTTTTTTCAAAACATTTAACGCAAGCTTGACAAGACTATATTGTTGAAATTCATATCTCATACTTATTGTTTTTAAACATTGGCCTATTCTAAATCAAAGTAAGCTCTGTCGAGGTTTCATAGTCATCTAATGACACTCCCACCTCTGTTTTAGCGAATGAGTCCATTAAAAAGTGAATCCTATACATTTGAATCTTTGGCGATATGACACAGTAACATGAATGTATGATAGACCTATCTGTATTAAACTTATTCCCAAAGATTGGTTATAAATTGATCCAGCTTAACACGTTCGCTACCGCAATAGTACAAAATTTTTCATTCATATGGACCAGCGACGCACATATGCGACGGCTGGTTTCTACCCATAGACTGCCGTCTTGTATGCATTGGCTAGTCACGTTAAAATAGACTAACGTCGCATATTTGCATTGGTGTTCCAATGTTATCAAAACGTATGTACTGTTCTGTGTTGTGTGTTGTATATGCGGCGTTTGGAGATATTTCAAGAAAAATATAATGATTTTCACTATTGTCTTCAGTATATACTGGGTGTCGCAAATATGCAACATTACAAAAGGTTATCAAAAATATAAAAAAAAAACATAATATATTATTTATAAACAAGATTGCAGAGTATTACAAAGTAAATGATCACTGTTTGACAGGTTTTTGCCCGTGGTCTGCATGTATTGTTAACCAAATGACAGCCAGTCTATGTGTAAGATTAAATTGTATACCTCGGTCCGTGGCAATGATCGTGGCATCGCAAATATGAGACGCTCGGTAGCAAATGTGTAAAAAAAATAATTGACTAAAAAAAGCACAGTTTATGAATATCAATAGGTACTCTAAACATGTGAAAAACTAAACAAGTTGCAAGGTAAAATGAAACAATTAATGGTAAATTACATACAATATACTCTCTATACAATATACAAGTGGTTATACTACACTGCATATGCAGTACATTGTTCCAGTTTATAAATCAACTTTAGATCAATAACAAGAAATATAAACTATAAAAATAGCAACACCTTGATAGATGATATAGTCTAAGGCACAGGCTATAATTATAAACCTCTGTAGTGCCTTATATATATTTTTTAAATTTAAGGTTTGACATTAGTAGACTTGAATGTTATTGAATGTTATGTTGATTGGTGTGTATTGTTGTTTGAAAAGGTTAAAATATTGTAATTTGCTCTTATTTAAAATACCCCCGCCGCAGCAAACCTGCCGTCTAAGCGAATTTCCATTTGGCCGAATTGATTTTCAATTGATCTATTTAAATAACATTAGGTTTAACGAGTACCTAGGTTTGCTGCTACAAGGAAACTAATAAAGTAGTGTGTTTTTAGTAAAATATTGATAGCTTACTATAAAATAAATAAATTTGCCAAGTTTGATCAAAATATATCCATAAACAAGCAAACTACAACCTTTTACAATATTCTCCATAAGAATAACAAGGGAATTTTAAATTTACCATTTTTTTAGTTTTCTCCGTAACCAATAATCGTACAAAAACACTTTGATATACTGAATTGTTTGTTTTTTTAAGCTCTTTAAGAAGGTTTGGAGAAAAATTGGGAAATTTTGTGTTTTGAGGGTAAGAAGTGAGAAAAACCAATTTTTACCCCATAAAACCCCCCATAAAACCCTGTTCCCATGGTCCGATCATGCTGGATCGCGAACTCATTCAAGTTTATCCCGCCTTACACCTACAAACCAAATTTCATCAAAAACGGATAAAAATTACTCAAGTTATCGTGTTCACGGACACATATATATATATATAAATCTATATATATATATACCTATATATATATATATATACATATATAAAAATTTGAACGAATGGTGTTTTTGGCCTCTGGGGACATTAAAATGAAAAAGTAAATCGGTCCCGGGCCTAAGTCTTACCATGAGACCTACGGTAATAGCTACTTCCCTATAGGGAAATTCGCTAAAATCAAAAACTTTAATGCAGTATACTATTACAGATTGACTTTTGAACAATATTTGTTTCTCTTTTGATAATTCAGTTAATATTTAGGACTAAATTGATAGTAAGAAATTAAATCTCGGTAATTTTGTTTGTTGGGGGTGTTTATTATCAAGATACAAGTTTAAAAATGGATTTATTTATCAAATGTTTAAAATCTGATTGGATGACAGTGTATTTTAAGTATACATCAAGCACTTCATAAGGCAGATCACTGAAATAAGGTACCATTCCACTGATTCAACAAAGATAATAACAGAACAAGTTATACTTATAATAATAACAATAATTAATAACTAATATATAAAATATCATAGGTATCCTTTTTTTTATAATAACAAACAATATATAAAACATATTAGCAACATATAATAACAACAGATTAACAATAAAGTATTTCAAATTGATAATTTTTCTTTTTTACTTTTATGCCTTTTTATTCAGTGTAGGTCTTTTCTCAAGATATTTTTATGAACATTCAACAAATAAATATTAAGTTATAAAAATATAGTAATAATAAAAATAAATAATCAAAAAAGTTTGTCTTTGTTTATCTCAGATAATAATAACTACTGTACTCACACATTTTCAAATTCTATGACACACTTTGTACCGTTTATCCTTTCAAATCAAATCAAATCAAAAATTCTTTATTTATTATTTCTTTATCCTTTCATTTGGGGGTTTCATCATTTGACAATAATCCTGTGATACATTATTAATTAATCATGAATACAAATTAGTTACTAAACAATAAACAATTATTTTTTTAATATTACAAGTTAATTAGTTTAGACTCAACTCAACTAACATTTCTGAAAGCAAGAACTGTTTTGTTTTTGGAGTCTCTGGTATTTGCACACAATAAATTGTACAGTTAATAATTACAGTATTACTGTAGCTTATTCAAAAGTAAATAAAAAATTTTTATTTTCATCAATAACTTCAAATTAGACTGTTTTGGAGGTACATAAGTCCAACCTACTATTATAGTAGGGGTTTTTGGTCTGTTCATCAATTTATCTATAATAGATGTTTGCTAATGAGTTAACTCAAATAAAAATATAAGGTAGCTAAAACTAATTGAGACAAAAAAGGCAGTGAGTTTATTTTGATTTAAAGTTCTTATTGGTCACGAACTAGTTTTTAGTAGAACGAGGTCTATATAGTTAATTTCACTTCATGGGACTGTTTAAATGAATTTATTTTTGAAAACAATGTTCTAAAATGTGTATATATTGATGGGAAATTCTGGCTACTTCTGTTGATTCTTGATTGTGTCCCTTAAGTTTTTGTTCCACATTCTACACACACAAATGCAAAATTAATAAATATAGCAGTAAAACTTCAGAACAAGTTCCAAGCAAACTTCAAAATCTTTTCTTGTTATATAAGCTTTGATTCTGAAATTAATATCTTAATTTATTGTTTTCAACAAAAAACCTGGAAGCAGAGTGATAGACCCAAAACTTCAATATACTACTGCTTTTACCAAGAATGTTTTAGATACAAAACAGTATGGCTATTAGTGAAGGGTGTTCTTCAATACAGAGAAAGTTCTCAAACGAAGAGACTTATCTTTTTTCTAGATTGTTGGATATGCTACTTGAGATCGGCATGATCACGGCTGAACGCCGTTGGTGATTGGAGAGAGTTGAACCCATGATTCTACACAGAGGTCTCGCGCTCAAGCACCTTGACCAGCCGTGTCCCATATCAGTTCTCAGAAACACTCTTAGAAGGCAAGAAATTGCAAACAATCATACAACATTTCAGTCCATTAGTACCGTACTTCAAATTCGTAATTTTGAATTTTACATTTTAAACAGTTAACTATATATTTTTACATGAGTCAAAGACAGTATATGAAACAAAAAGCTGACGTGTTACCTGTATAAAAATAAAGACAATAGTATTATTGTGGCACATGTAAAATAGCACTTATAAAATTCTACAGTACAAAACACACTAAAATATTATTTATATTTGGCTAAAACAATATTGTTGCCCTTCATTATGAAGACAACATTATGATACAAATATGTTTATTCCCTATTTTGATTGATGGCTGACTCAGAGAACCTGTCCATGGCACTCGGTATCTTTATCCTTAATCACTACACTTAGCAATTTCACTAGTTGCTCTAAATGTGTGTAAAATAAAGACACCAAGGAACAAAATGTTTGCATTTACAGATGAACTCTTTGGGTGAGGGTGAGGATTATGCCAGTATTGAAATGCATAGAACATTATCATTTCTTGAGTAAGTTTATATTTACACTGCCTAGCCCCAAAACTGGACTCTCACTTCCTAGTGCTGCAAAAGACTGCTAAATCTTAAACTCGGTTCTTGCTAGGCAAGATTCAGTGCCTGTCAAATTTCCTACACCATCCAAGTTAGGGCGGTTTAAGTCTTGGAGCAGCCTCTAAGGGCTCCCACAATAAAAATTCACAAATTTTATTGAATGAGGAAACAGTCTAAACTGAAATTTCCATTCAAAAGACCAATTTAATCTTTAGTCTTTAAGTAGGCATACAGATTTTTCTTATAGCTAAGCGCTCAAAAAACTTTGCCTATAAAGAATTTAAAAGTTAAGACGTTTCTTTACATAACTTATCCCTTTCTCCAATGATTTAATTTTTTAGATGATTCCAAAAATTCAATAAAAAAAGGCTGACGCTATTTAATTCAGATTCAACCCTGGTGTATGAATTATACACACATTTGGCAGCAAATATAAGTTTACAGCTTTTCTCCAACAATTGTTTTTGTTCCAGCATCACAATTGAAAGACAGTAGACATCCTATAACGATTAATACAGCGGGTGCTGTCTTTGTTCATTTTATCCAGCAGTCCAAATACCAAGTTCACAATGAATCCATAACTCATTGGTCACTAAACTTCATACTCTATGCAACATGTTGGTTTTTAGCTCTGATTGGTCATTGCTGGAGCTGTAGAGTCTCCGGAAGCATTAGCTGGTTCTCCGTTGTCGCCCCCTGATTGGTTGGATTCATTCAGCTCACCAATAAGAGCTCGGTATTTATTCGCGATCATTTCCCAATCAATGATGTTTTCTATCCTTGTCGCAGCGTTACTGAAACTCAATTGAGATCCGAGAGGGCTGAGGTGAACCACACTCAACGCCACGGATTCTGAAAAACAACAAATTTACATTAGTATTGTTAAAAAAATCCATTGTTAACCATGACGTTAATTAATAATGTTTACAGTTTTTGTTTATTGCATTGCACTTGCATAATACATTTGACTTGGTGCCCTGAAATTGCTTCATTTGTAAATAAAGATCCACTCAATCTTGAACTTTTTACATTGTATTAGGCCTTTCATCTGTTATCTATTAACATTTTTGACACTACATGGAAGCCTATTAATTACTTTACTTATGTAATGTAATATACTTAATCACCGTTGTTTTATGCTGATGGGTTTTGTATTTATTTGTCTCTTTACCTCTGCAGCTAGTATCACTAGCTCAATATTAAATTTTCCGTGCTGATCGACGTTGTTTGTATGGAGGTTTTCTAACCAGGTCAAAATCAGTAAAAAAAGAAGCTCCTGAGAAACATCTCATTTTGACACTCTTTTTTCAGCAACTTTTCCATGGAATAAAATTGTATTCATTGTATTTTTTTACACATTTATGGGTACTAAATAGTGATTACACAGGTATTTAAACCTTAATTGTTTTATTAAACTTTCTAAACAAATTTAAGTCATTAATCTGATGAAAAAATAGAATGTTATGCTTTGTTACCAAATAATGCAAACAAATCAGAGAAGTGATTAGGTACGCGTTAAAATAAATCATGCTTTTGTGATGTGTTAGGAGTAAATACTCTGTTGTGTCAATCATGATACTGATGTTAAGAACACATAAACAAAATGTTTCAGTCTGACATAATTTAAAAAAGGTATTGACTCATTTATTGACTATATGATGAAAAAATTACTAATGGCAAGAATATTAGCAACCCCAAGTGTAGCCAAGTAGCAAAGTGATTGTGTGAACAAAGACCAAATTTGAGGTGGTCCAAACAGACAAAATTGCTTGTAAAATGATTTGCTTGTAACTAAAATTAAGCTGCTTAAGTTGAAAAAAGGTGAAGAAAAGAAATGTACCTCTACCTTTCGGCGCCACCTGTCCCTTTTTGACTTTGGCCAACCACTTGGCGCCCATTTTGGATCTTGCGCTGACTCGAGAGCGTGACTGTAGCCCCATCATCTGCACCAAACTTGGCCTCTTCCTCTGCATCACTGTTGGACCAAGATGTGTTATGTCTCATTTAAAGTTGTAAGTGCATGGGCGTCCATGCATAAGGGCCAAAAGGGGGCCCAACCCCCCCCCCCCCCCACCTTTGACCCTTCCAGAGTGACCAAACAGTCTGAGAATTTCTGGAAGTTTGCGTAAATTTATTGAATCAGGAATTATGTGGAAATTTTGAACTTGAACTGGGAAAATCTGTTTTAGTCTTTGGTCAAGGTAAAATTGTGATCGTTATTCGTGGACAAGGCAAAATCGTAAACACTCGGTCATGGCAAGATCGAGAACATCTTTGGCAGTCACGGCAAGATCAAAAAAATTTCGGCGGTCACGATAATATTGAGGAAATCTTCTGTAGCAATAACTTCTTCCATAGTCAAATACCCCCGCCACAGCAAACCTGCAGACTAAGCAAATTTCCATTTGCCTGATTAGATTTTCAATAATAATCTATTTAAATAATATTAGGTTTAACAAGTACCTAGGTTTGGTGCTACAGGGAGTTTTTTAAAGTGTTTTTTTATCAAACACTCTGTGTGTTTTTGTTATTTTTAATAATAGCTGTGTATAAAATAAATAAATTTAACTAGTTTGATCAAAATTTGGAACATTTCAAAACCCCATAACATTTCGTTCCCATGACCTGATCTGGCTGGTTCACAAACTCATACAAGTTGATGCCACATCTCTTGTTTATGCCAAATCTCATCAAAATCAGACCAAATAAATGACTTGAGTTTTTGATTACAGGGACACATATTCACATATATTTAGGACATAAAATGAAAAACAAAATCAGTCCCAGGTCCAGGTCTTAGTTGTCATATTACTTATCATGGTAACAGCTACTTCCATAGAGGGAGATTAACAAAAACTAGGTGAACTGAGTGATGAGGGATCAATCATGTGACTGGATCTCAGAATAGTATAGTGAATGAGCTAAACTCTATAACGGAGATGAGGTACATAAGACTCCCTCTTATCCGGACACCTTTTAACCGGACATCGGTTTAACCGGATTAAATCGGTGGAAATGACATCTCTTTAACCGGACAATTTTTATCAGCACTTTGGTTTAACCGGACTAGATAGGCAGGAAGTGGGCGGTACTGAAACAACTGTTCTCTAAGAAAGATTTGAGACCAGTGATCACATATCTAAATACAATGCTCTCCTAAATTTAAGTCGAATATCACAGTAAACGGCCCGTTTTAACGAGTTTTTGGTGATGTCGGTTTAACCGGAAAACCCGTTATCCGGACTTACCTCGGTCCCGAGGAGTCCTTATGAGAGGGAGTCTACTGTAGTGCTAACTTGGACCAGAATAACTAATAGATTTTTTAAATGAAATTTTAAGAAAATGACACAGGAAACTATTGTTGCGAATAGTTTGGTATTTGATGCAATGAAAAATAAAATTTTAACTGAAAGAATTACTTGCCAACTGAGATTTTTAATAGACTTGATATGAAAATCAAACAAATGTTAGGCTGCTACTTCTAAATAAATGATCTTTTCAGTTGGGATTGTGGCAATATATTTTCTTGCAACAATAAAGGACTTTCAATTTTGACCTTTACGTTTAAATTAACACTTGTTTGCCATTTTTTTAGACTTCCTCCATATAGAATGACCCTCCCAAAGAAATATGAGTACAATCGATACTTACTTCTTCGCTTACATATTCTGAGGAGATACATGAGCCAAGTTGTGATGAGGTTGATGGGGGAAGGAGTGGTTGTGGTTCTGTGCATATTACGAATCAGCTTCGCCAGACCATACTTCCATTCAATGTCAGATTGTGCCTGTAGAAAAAATGATGATTCAAAACTACAGATGTTTTAAAACATGTACAGCTTTGTCACATGTAAGATGTTCTCTATAACTACACATTTTGTTTAGCATCTTAACATTATATAAAATAAAGACTTCCAAGGAATACTTAAGTAATTTTATTGTTAAACAAGGAAATTGCCTGAAAAGACATGTTTTGTATGGTTTTGTTTGTAATATTTTCATTTGTTAGAGATTATTTATGATTTTGAGTGGGCTAATAATTTTCCTTAAATAAAGCCAAAGCCATTGACTTTGGATATTGAACTAGACATCCCATGTTAATTAGCTTTTAAGTAGTTTTTTGAACTCGAAAGAGAACATACAGTAGTAGTAACTATACTAAAAACTATATGAAACAATAAGTTACAAACACAATCTCACCTGGATTCTCTGGTAGGTGTCACTCATCATAGCAATCAGTAGATTGATGAGTACAACCACCGACACCAACATGTAGATACCAAACACAAATTTGAACAAGTACAACGTCCACTCCGGCTGTGTCGTGTCTTTTGTCTTCAAGTTGTCTGGCGTTGTCTGACCAAATACAGCAAAGAACAGGAACTCCAGGGCAGACATTGGGTTCAGTCGCACTGGAAGGGAGTGATTGTATGTTAAATTGTTATTGTTGGGCATTTGTGTCTTTTAAATATTAAAATTTAGCGATACACAGATTTAGACTATATACAAACCTATGGTTGGTAAGGTGCTAATCTCAAAAAGGATCATGTGTTGACACCATCATTTAGTGGATGCTATATGAGATAAGGTAATCCGGACCCTTTGAATATTTAAATAGTATTTTTTAGAAGGAATTGAAAATCTTCTTTTAAAGAGGCAGATTTCAATCCATTGCACTCTCTAAAATATTTGTTTAATATGTTTTATCACATATTTTAACGTGACGGGGTTTTTCTGTTTCTTGATTCTGAATCAACCACTTTACTGATTTGAAATAGAACATTCATCGTTTGTGACACAAATTCAGCATTTGGATAAAAATGACATACATAGGGTTGATTTGTTTATACTATGTGTAATGCTATAATCATCGATCCGTCCATTTATTTGGTGTTAAGATGATGTTTCACTGCAAATTTGTTTGAACTAACAGCTGGATGGATATAAAAATATTGTATTCTATTATTTAAATATTCTATGAGGTTATTTTTATTTTGTCTATGATTTTGTCCTTGATTATAGGAAATAAATAAGATTCGTAGAGATAATTAGACCACAGATTTAAGTAAGCCATTGCTGTATACCAATCGGGAGGCTCTGCCCTTCGAGTCTTCAAAGAAAAGCCTGTGCAAATTGTTCTACTGCTCGACTTTTTTAGGAAAGAGTAGGGAAATAACAGAGCTTACAAGTTTTAAATAATCTTGGCAGCCTCTTGTTAACAATGAAATGTTTGACTGCTTAACCTTTGTTTGGATTAGTCCTGGAAATATTGATGTTATAAAACAAAGAGATTAAGAATGATCAGGAATGGAGATTTTAGATTACTACCACAATCTCCTGACGGGTTTTATCCAGGGATAAACATATGGATGACATACATTAAACACAATGTTATCATTGACCTAGGATACTGTAAGTATCTTTTGTAAATCTAAAACGTTGTTTGGCGTTCATCTGTTGGTTACGTTGGGTGCGCTGATGTAGGCAAAATATAACTTTTATCTCATCTATATATCTTATAGTTTGAATAAATTAAATGAGTATGAATGATATTAGGATGTCAATGAGGATGGGTAATTATCACGGATAACGGTATGGATGATAAACATGGAAAAATTACGTGACTAGCTTACTAGAGTGTTTACTTTTATAAATTCATTCTATATGGGCCTATCTATATATATAAAATCCAATGTATGTTTGTCCTTTATGGACTCCGAAACCGCTCGACAGATTGTAATGAAACTTTCAGGCATTATTAAGCATTATTCAAGGATGGTTTGTGTGAAGTTTGGTGCAGATCCGTCAAAAGGGCTCCGCCCCAGTGGCTCTGGGGTTTCCCATGTTAACCTTATGAGTACTCATATTTAAATGGAATTAAAGAATCTTAACAGCTGGTTCAACTAAACTATCTGATTCTGTGATGTTCAATAGCATTAAAAAGTTAATATGTTTACCAACAGGGTGCAGCACTATATTTTTTTTTAATTTATGAGAACAGCTAACTTGCAACCAAAAGGTGAGTGAGCGTAGCGAATGAACTTCAACCTGGAGGCGAGTTAGCGTAGCGAACGAGCTAACCTGAAGGCAAGTGAGCGCAGCGAACGAGCTCCAACCTAAAGGTGAGTGAGCGTAGCGAACGAACTTCAACAGCTAATTAGCAACCAAAAGGTGAGTGAGCGTAGCGAACAAACTTTAACCAGGACATGATTGAGCCATGCGAACAAACTCATCTTGAAAATGAACGAGCATTTGACATAAATCCACACTAGGATAGGACGACGTCTGTCGGGCCAGCTAGTAAAGGATAAGTATGGATGATTTAAATAAATGATGTCAGGACTATTTTGGCAAACCAAATCTTTGGATGGTAATGAAAACGTCAACCGATGTAGTAGATCTGAAAACTGTCCAATAAGCTGCAGGGTGTTAGTAGAAACCAAATTTGATCCATACCATATTATCCCAGCAGTACTGTATTGTTCAGAAACTTGGGCACTGACTGACCAAAGAACAGAAAAACCTTATTGCTGGGTTTGAGAATATAGAATACAGAAAAGATTGACTGGCTATTTCAAGATAAGGGAGGTTGAGATACGAAAGAACAGAGAGCTAAGAGAAACGTTTTAAACACCCAGATATGTGGGTGCTTTCAGAAAGTAAAAGGCTCATTTGCAGGCTAGATGCGTAGTGGAGAGAAGATACATCTATATATATAAAATCCAATGTATGTTTGTTTGTTTATCCTTTATGGACTCCGAAACCGCCCGACAGATTGTAATGAAACTTTCAGATATTATTAAGCATTATTCAAGGATGGTTTGTGTGAAGTTTGTTGCAGATCCGTCAAAAGGGCTACGCCCCAGTGGCTCTGGAGTTTCCCATGTTAACCTAATGAGTATTCATATTTAAATGGAATTAAAGAGTCTTAACAGCTGGTTCAACTAAAGAATTTGATTCTGTGATGTTCAATAGCATTAAAAATTTAATAGGTTTACTAACAGGGTGCAGCACTATTATTTTTTAAAATTTATGACGACAGCTAATTTGCAACCAAAAGGTGAGTAAGCGTAGCGAACGAACTTCAACCTGGAGGTGAGTAAGCATAGCGAACGAGCTAACTTGAAGGCAGGTGAGCGCAGCGAACGAGTTCCAACCTAAAGGTGAGTGAACGAACTTCAACCAGGACGTGATTGAGCCATGCGAACGAGCTCACCTTGAAAATGAACGAGCATTTGACATAAAACCACATTAGGACAGGACGACGTCTGTCGGGCCAGCTAGTCACTTTATAAAAGTGTATTCTGAGGAGTACCACAAGGAAGACGACCACTAGGAGAACCAAGCAATGAAAGACTTATCCAGACTGGGATCTACATTAGATGATCAAGGGATAGAAGAGAATGGGAGGCCAAAATCCTCTTAAGGTTTCAGTGGCTATTGAGGCAAAATAAGGTACAATAAGTGATAGTATGCAATGGAATGTGGTATAGCTATTTGTACTTTAAACCAGTGTGTGTCAATCAACGGCCAATCTCACTTCAAGGCTTTTCAAATCTACACAATTGCTGTTTTATTGTAAATATGGATTTAAAATACATATTGTATGGCCTAATCAAATGAAAGAAATAGGTGGTCACGTGACATTTGTACAAGATTAATGTGCTTTTGAAACTGATGCCAGAATTTGTCTTTATTCCTGTAATCTAGCTTTTCTGAATTATATTCAGTTTTAATTGAGTACTTGATTCCCGTACGTAGGACAGGCCAACAGCTCGTTATTTTAAAAACCAACATTATATAACATTATTTTTAACATTTTATATAAATATTTTAGTATTAAATCAATAATATAAACATTACTAATCAATCAACACAAAAAGTTAAAAAACTAAAATTTCATTCAAACTTTTTATAATTTTTTTAAAGAGGTACGTAAAAGCATTTTAGCCAGAAGGACAACGACGCTTAAAGTAACTCCTCACCAATACATATCTCTTTCCTCGAAGCCCAAAAATACTTAATTTTGGAGAAATTATGACATTGAGCCCCAAATTTAGGGAAACGGCAAAAAATCATTCACTCACCTTGGATGGAAATGCTTTAGATGGATAAAAAACTCCGTGACTTAAAAATGTACCTAATAATTGCTGAAACTTAAAGCACAAATCTTGTCAAACAATTTGAAGTGCTATAGCAAAAAGCAGACATTCGAATGTGTTATTGCGTGCAATAGAAGTTCAATACTTTACAACCTTACTAGTATCACTTTCTTGTTAACTAATTTTAAAGTATGCAAAGCCAATGAAATATAAGTCAACATACCTTAACAATACTGGAAAAATATTTTCAAGATGCTTTTTTATACCTCAAAAATGTTTATGTAAAGTTATAAAAAGTTACATATAGATCAGATCTAATTTTTACGTGAGTTGGTCTTACTTTTAAAGTCAATGCTAGTTTATTATGATTTAAGTATTTGAGTATTTATAGCGAGATCAGTGTATTAGTGGTATCAGTGGGTATATTTTAACATTTTATTACATAAAATATACAAACAAATAAACAAAATATATCCTTTTATTAAAATATTTTTTACATGAACATGGAACTATTAAAATAGTATATGAGTGCATTTTCATCCTACAAGATAAATGATAGTTTGTTATGTTTAATACTTCCCTTCAATTCTTCAATGCCAATCAAATCTTAGTCTTCATAAGAAAGGCCTAAAGTGTGTAAAAAAAAAACTATGCCAAAATATTATTAGAAAAAAATAGATAAGTTTGGTTATCGCTTAACCGTATGTCTTACTTCAATAACCTACTTTTAAGGTACACATAGAAATTACATTTCTCACATTATACATAACAAACTGCATTCGTAAATGCCAAACGCTCATAAAGTAAATGAATAAACTATCAAATAAGGATGCAAACACTGAAAGCCCTAAGCTAACGGGAGCCAATCTTTCTCTTGCATTACCATCCCTGCTGACATTGAAAGCCCTATCCTAGACATTTAGTGAGCGTAGCAGCAAGGTTCCCGGTGAGACGACATCAAGACTATTCTAGAAGCCTCGTCAAACTTACAGTCTTCACCTCCCCGCCAAACACATTTCCGTCTCCTCGTATACCATGAACAATAGACGGTATCTGGCTCCAGCTGGGGGAGGGGAGTGGTTGACGACAAGTTCTCTATTGTAACAAAGACTTAGCTTTTGATTGGCATCTTAGGAATTGAAGAGGATCCGCTAGTGTGTCAAGCTTGTTGATAAAGTTCAGAACTGTTGAGCTTTGTGTGATTCTGTGTAATTGTGTGTTATTCGGTTAAAGGCTGTATTTTTGGATACAGTAATCAGAATACAGGATGAGTGTAGAATAGAGTGGGGTGCCTAATTGTGTATCTTTGTTACTGACTAAGATCAGCTGTTTTTTTTGTTTTTTTTTTAGCACGGACTAATTATTAAAAGCACCATGATTTAGGACAGCTGGGTCCAGTTTTAAATATGGTTTTGAGAAGAAATGGGTTTACTTTGACATTGATCTTTTAGTACTATCGTACTATACACAGCTAGTTCACAACAATCAGAACATCAAAAGTACTGAACTCTAACAACAATGAAGGAAAATAAGACAAAATTGAGTGCAATCTAATGTGTTACTATCATGCCAGTCAGCAAGTTAAAACTGTATTGTGAATATTAATTTATTGAAGGTTTTGTCTAGAAATATCATCTATTTGATTTGTTGTTGTTGATTGTTTTCAATACACTTTATTTATAAGCTGTTTTTATCCAATGATTATTTTATGACTGGTTTAACTGTGTCAATCAATATTATTTGTCAATGTAATTTATAACTTGCAATATTATGATTCTCACTACATTTACTATATGTTGTTAGTACGAAATATAGTTTTAGAGAAGGTGTTTTATGAAAAGTGTGAATAGAGTTGAGTCAAAATTAAGTATTTAATGTAAGTGGATATTGCAAATAATTATTATACAGTGACTGAATCAACATTCCATAGATAATGCAAGATGTATTTACACTTAAAGTGGAAATAAGATTCACACGGTACAGTTGTTAATGAATTACTCACCCTCAGCGAAGTAACCGTACGTTGGAGGAACATACTTGTGGTTGTGCTGCCCCGCTCTGATCTCCTCTGGAGTTTGATTCTTGAACGGTTGATTCAGCGCGACGATATGCATAGCGAAACCGAAAATGAAAATTGCCAGCACGGCTAGAAACCTGGCCAAGTCTTTCATCAGATTACCGATAATGATGGCCCAAGGACCGAACAGGTAATGAAACGATAAAAAGTCTAAAATCTGTACACAAGCTAAGAGGAACGACAACGCAAACAGCTGATTTCTCAGGTACATCAGCGTTGGCCAGTAAAGTCTCTCTATTAAGTAGCCAACTAGATGCAAAGCTACGCCGAATATTCCGAACAGTAACACTGTCACTTTGATCCAGCCGAGGCCAGTTTTATCACTCGGGTTGGTCAGTTCGGATAACAACAGCCCCGATAGCCACACTAGCAGTGCCCACTCGTACCAGTACGGGTTGAGAGTAGATCTCACCACCTGGTAGATAGGTGTGATGCCAACCAACATCAGCAGGATCATCAGGTAGATGTGAGACGTGAGGTAGGACATGAACTTGATTATAGGGATCTTGTTGTACTTGTGGCCGAGGGAGAGAGTGAAGTAGATCCAGACCGGAGGACAAATGATGAACGTGATGAAGAGGAGCATCGTCTTCCATGCTGCCCAGCCGAGACTCCCTTGCCACAGTTCCTGTCAAAGATGTACATGTATGGAGGAAAACTTTCTCAATTGCCAAAATATGAGTAACAACTGGTCAAATATCAGAACTTACAAACATTTTATCCAACATAACTTAGGTTCAGTACCGACTGTCACACCACTCTGTATATTTAGTGTACTGACCCACGGTAGTAAATTTGTTAAACAGATGTATATGGCATTGAAGTTTATACTAGTTTAGCAATAAAGATGTTTGATTTTCACCTGCAAGTATCTCTGGACCACAGTATGTGCGATGACTTCCTTCTGTTCATTCTCAATGAGTACGTCCAGAAACTCCATGTTTCTACGGTCTGTAGCTGTGAGTATTCTACCTGCAGAGTCTGCGCCGGCCGCAAGAGCTAACAACTCTGTAGCCATCCCCTCGCAGAACTGACCTGCCGAAATTAGATCTTTGGCTCGCTCTTTTTCCTGTGAAAAACGTCAAAACGAAAAATGGTTATCTGTAAGAATCAAAGTGGATTATAGGATAGCCATGTTATAGTGTGATTCAATGCCTCATCCATCGAACTTTTTTCTGTGTGATTCGATAATCCAATTCACTAGATGGAGCAAATTAACTATAGCTATTGCTAGTTAATTTTGTAAGTAGCTCCCCCAATGCTGCAATGATCAGTAGGTGAAACTCTAATTAAGACAGTTGTACCCACCTTGCTAGACAGTTGTATATATATGGCTGACAATTTAGCTGCTGTGTCCACAGGTGCTGGAGACACAAGGATGAATTCCTGCATTGGCTTATCATTGTGCTTCTTGCTGCACACCATGAGGTTATACACAAACTGAAATGTAAAACATTTTGTAAAAGTATGTTCATTTTTAAAAGTCCAGGCACATATTCTTCAACATGTGCTCAGGATTTGTAATGAGGTGTTAATTAATAAATTGTTATAAACAATTCAAAATTTCCAGAACAGATAATCCAAGGAGGAGATTTGATATTAATTGACGACCAGTTTTAATAAAGCATTGCATACAATACAAGCAGTAGTTTTAAATATTTTACTTTGGATTATAAATATATAACTACCTAAATATTTAGCCATGTTTTTTACAAGTTACCTCGAAAAAAAAATACTGGTTGGAGAATAAATTTTTTAATGTTCAAAATATATTTATACAGAATTATATGTGGTTTTCTAGTGTGATGTGAGGGATACCAAATAGTTCTGTTAGGTAGTAATTAATTATAGCCAAACTTGAGAACTTAACTTTAGCGGTCCAAGTGAATAACACCATACAATAACAGAGTAACATAATAACTGAGAAGAGAATTAGCTACTCACCCTTCTATCCTCCATGAGGTTGTATGTGTCGTGTTCCTTGGTCAGCAGATACTCCAGGACGTCATTGTGACCCTCGGAGGCAGCAAACCAGATTGGCGCAGACCCGTAGTTGGTCTCTGACTTGGGAGATGCACCAGACTCAACCAACAACCTCACTACGTCGAAACAGCCGGCGCGGGCAGCACAGTGCAACGCCGTCCATCCGTTCTGGTAACAACATGACATTTTGTGTGGAGAAAAACAACTTATAGTGGTATAGTGGCTTAGTGGTATTTTGTTAGGTACATAAACCAGACTAGGCTGGTCAGATCCAGGTGATATGCAATGTCTTATTTTAGTAGTCACTTCCACTTCTATATTTTATTTTTGGTCTTAACGTCATTAGCATTTTTGCATGTTTTGTAAGGGAATGGTCTAGCTCATTTACAAATGAAGTAAGTCAAAATAGTGTAAAACTAAATATCTCTGCTTGTATTTAAAATGTATATATTGATGCCATTGACAGAAGAACATGAATCAAATTCTACTACCATTGGTAATCCTGGCTGTTTTTTTTATGACAAAGCACAGGTTAAGGCACCAGTTTTTACATATTAATGCACAATAACAAGTTGAAAAACAAACTAAAAGTAGTGAAAATATATAGAATAGATTTTTTAATTGATCCATGCTTAAACAATAAAAGGTTTTAGTTCCGTAATGCAACTTAAAACTAAGTAGGTACTGTAACCATTTAAATTAATAATTGCCACAGTTTCCCAACATGATCACTGGCCATGATCATAAAACACATTCATGGTATTTTAGGAGCTCCTTCCATGAGGGATACCACAATTGTTACATTTAAACATTGGTTTTGCAAATAAAGTTCTGCAGGCATTAAGGAAAGTCCATAACTCAGGATTTGAGTTGAACTTTGTCCGCCCCACTCCTTCCCCCTTTGAAACATGTTCATAGCAGAAAACCTGCAAACTGGACTGAAGTTATACATGAAGCAGGAACAGTGTGGAAATTTCCAGAACTAAATTGAGGACGTTTATGCGATTTAAAGTTAAAAGTTAGCCATTTTGGAGTCAGCAAGCCTAGAAGAAGTGTCAGCAATTTGCAAGCTTTCTACTTTGGATCATTCTTTCCCTCCTGACCACCTTTAGGGATTTATTGGCAGAGGTGAGAATAGTTGTAAATACTTTAATTTGATTTTAACCGATTTTGAAATCATATGAATTATTAAATTTAACTTTTAAAATATATTTCAGTGTAACTTGTTCATGATGAAATCTTGGCTAGACATGCAGTGTAGGAGGCTTTGGAATATTTTAAGAATTATTATTTAATATTGTTACCTTTAATTTTAAAGTGATTTAGTCTGATAAATATTGTAGTTGATGTAGAATTCACAAATTATATGGTATTTTTGATCAGTACAATTTATTTCTTAGTAACAGTGGAAAATTTTGCCAACTAAAACCTGTTTTGAGGATGAAACATGAAAGCTGGTAACTGATTACTTAAAATCTTTTAATTTGTCTCTTTATTAAAAATGTTAACGATTATGTTGTAGTATACTGTAAATATAAATGTTTAATAATCATGTTCCTGTAATATAGCCCTTGTTGTATTTTTATAAAACTCTCAATCCATATTTTATTTTCACATAGACCAGTACACTCACTATGGCTGAATCACATTAGAAGCAATTAATTATAGAAGTTTCCACATTTTAAAATGCTCAATTGCAATTTCTTATTAATAGTGCTGTATATAGTTTGATCTAAAATATTGTTTTATTATGTGTTTTAATGAAAAGTCAACTAAATTAAATGTTCAATGTTATCTGTGAATTTTGAGTCTGACAAAATGATGAATTAATTTAGCAAATTAATAACTGTAAAACAAAGTGAATTATTTTGTAAAGATTTACATAAACGTTCCAAAGTCTCACCAATGTATGTCAAAGTGTGTAAGTATGTATTTAAATGTTTAATAGGGTAAGATGTGTTATTATTAATTTTTGAAAGTGTTAACATTACAGTTTATCATCTCCGTGATTGTACATGAACTAATTTGAATATATTAGCAGCTAGTGAGTCTAAACTTAAATTAAAGCAACCTATGATACATTTTTGGGTGCTAATTGAGAGAGTGAATCATATTCTAGTAGTGAAGGGGTCCATACAAGAACTAATTGCATTATTTTGGATAAATATTTTGAATTATAGCTCATGGACTTTGTAATTTAACTTATATTTTAAACTCAAACTCACTTGAACTGATTTAAATATATTTAGCGTTTCACTTTTGTCATTGTATGTAAATATCATGTTTAGGTTAGGTTATGTGAAAATTTATATGCCTAAATGAAGGAGACTTTATAACAATCGTGAACTTTATTCAATTTAGTGAAGATTAGTTGAGTTATTCATGTTTGGGACATGGTATACTACCAGCAAAAATTAACTAGGAACATGACTACTATATTATTAGACCTGAGTACTAGTATGTGTATGGGTTTTGCACAGGGAATTTTTGGACCCTAGTGATTACTTGGTGCTACCTTACCTCCCCTGATGTGGTCTTCGGTGCTAGACTGTTGAGTTTCTGGTTCAGTTCTACCTTTTTGGGACATCTACTTACCGTGTTGGACTACTTCTCTGGACATTGGTGTTCACTCGTCAACCTGTGGGTGTACCGTGCTCCACCTAACCGTCGCAGACTTAACCAACGCACTCAAACCACAGATAGGACAATTTCATTTTCACTCTTTTGTATTATATGTATATATTTAGATGATTTAAATTAACTTGCTATTGCTTTTGTACATTTTCAGGGATTATTCTAATTAGTTTTAAGTGGGAATTCTATGTTTATTGCCACTAGTTAGTGTCGGCCGATAAGTTAGGTATAATTCAGTGGATTTACTTTTGCAAATGTTGAATATTGAATATTAATGGGCAATTGTTATTGAGATATCATTCTTTACTTCAATATTAAATAATTTTGTGGTGATTGAAAATTCTAGTTGTCATTCAGATCACCTGGTGTGCCCTATCTTGATTAGATACAACAGTTATAGTATTTTTGAATATTTTGAATACAATTTGAATTTAGATTTATAAGATTTATTTGAATTTTTAATTTTAACTTGGAAACCACATTTATTTAAAACATCTTATTTGAACTTGCCCTATTATCTACTTTTAACTTCTGGAATTAGACAGAGAGTATTTTGCATCAACATTCTTATCTGAGCAAAAGATAAGCAGATATCTTAAGCCATATTATCAAGACAATTTTTGAAATATTTTATTAATTAGTATCACTTGGTAGATTTTGCTGAAAAGTGTGTTTAGCCAAGGACTTAAATTAATTAACTTTAGGGTTTAGCCTCTGCCATTCCTTTCAGTATTTTGTTTTTCGAAATTATTTTAAATTTTCCTTTTCCTTGGAACATTTCCTAGTTTGGATCCCAGGAAGTTTAAAAACTAGGTGGCGCCCCTTTTCATGAAGAATTATTGATCAAGGATAAACACTCTGTGTATAATATTCATCGACCCCCCCCCCCATACTGAGCAATCCGAGCCCAGAGTGTCACAGTACACATCAAAAGAACTGTTTCCTTTACACCTACCTTATCCGTAGCATTTATCTCCGCCCCTTGTCCCAGCAGCACCTCCACCATCTGGTAGTGGCCATGGGTTGCTGCAACATGGAGTCCTGTCTTTCCGTGCTTATCAGAGGAGTGTAGAAGATCCGAGGATCTACTCAACAGCAGCCCCACAACTGTGATGTGACCACCAAAACAAGCCAAATGCAACGGGTTGTAGCCCTGAAAACAACCATTCATGTTGAAGGTGTAATGTAAAACCAGTCTTTCATTTAAAATTTTATGATGGCATTGTGATGTTGCAATGACCATTACAACAGTTACAACTTTAGAGCTGATTGACAAAGGTAAAGCCTATTTTATTTATGTGTAGTTTATGTTGGTGACACTAAACACTAGTAAAAAAAAATCTTTTCTCAAAATTTGCTTTTAATTTGATGATTTTTACTTCACTCACTAGGTTATAAAACTAAAGGATAATCTATTGTTTTTTATTAAATAGTTTTATATAGCTAAGATAGTTTTGAAAGAACAAGAAACAGAAGCACAACCCTACATAAACCAGATGGAACTAAAATTAAAACTGTCAGTGTATTCATAAGTATAAGAAATGTAGGTGAGAGTTTAATCTATGCTACTAGATACTAACATTCTCAGAGGTGGCTGCGTCCACTTGCACCCCGACAGAGTTTAGAAGCAGCCTGACGACGTTCTCGTTGCCGGAGTATGCGGCAAAGTGTAATGGAGTCATCCCTGACTCGTTGCCCAGTTCGCCCACAAGACTAGCTCCGGTTGGCGGATCTGACTTGACTGTGGCCGGAACACTCGCTAGAAGCTCTCGAACAGTGTCTATAGGGGCAACCATGAAACAAATTACTGTCTGAAACATTTGAAGCTGTAAGCCTGGTAGAAAACTGCTTAGGTGTTAAACTATTTGGTTAGTAAAGAACACAAATGAGGCACCACCTCAATAGCATTGTTGTGGTTATATCAATGTTAGTTTTATAGAAGGTATTTGTGGTTAAAATTATTGTATTTGATTTATCTAATGTACTAGATGGCTTGAGTGGTCTATAACAGATATTACGGTGGTTAACCATATTGAGATGGTTTACTAAAAGAGCTCTACCGAGTATGCAAAATTATTATGGTTCACTTATTAATGTAGTAAATAAAAATACAACAATGAATTTTAACATAATAATATTTACTGTTTGTAGGATATAGTGTTCTGATATTATTCTTGTCGATTTGAAATTTTCGATTTTCTTATAATAAGAAAGAATAAATACCATCCCTTACATTAAAAGCAAGTCAGTTTAATAGCCTACCATTCACATATAAATGATATACTTTTAAAATTTTGGTTTTAGCCATGTTTCTTTGAATAAGACTTTTAAAGAAAAGTGAGGTATGATTTTATTTGTGCTTATTTTTATGACTTTTATTTCTTCCCCTAAGAGCAACTCTCATAGTAAAACTACAGACGTGGTAAAAACCAACGTAAGGTTCAGAAGTTTTTAACTAGGGTTGTTTGTAGGTATTTTATATATATTTACCAACACAGTTTCATTCATAAACTAATAAAAAAAGCGCCTCAAAGTTTACTTCGAGGATAGAACAGTGTTTTCACCCCATTTGCGAAGTACCTTTTCTTTTCAGGGTTTTTGTCTATAGACCTATAATTATCAGTCTCTTTGAATTACCGAGTTATGGCATATAGCTTAATTAGTAATTTCTGATGGGTGGGATTTCAACCACTCCCCATCTACTATTGAAAATACAATAGTACAAGTAGACTTCTCATTCCATTGTAAATTTTGAAGCACGTTTTTCGTGTCTAGTTCATGTATACGTGACACAAAGGCGCTAGTGTCGACGAAACTTTGTTTCTATTATTTTAGGGTTAATTTCTTGATTTATGCTTTACTGTTTGGTTATATAACTAGTGGAAAAGTTATTGTTTATGATTAGATCGTATTATTTGGCTAAACGAGGTTTTAAATGGCTGTAATAACGGGAAACAAATTGTAAACAAAACACGACCTCTACATAAACCGTACAGAACTAACAATATAATTGTCTTCAGCTGTTCCATAAGGATGAGAAATCTACTAAGGGAGTATGTTTTATCTATGAAAATACTCTGTAATGGCATTTTGATGTGTATGCGTGATAAAGAAAAATGCAACCAAACTAAACAAAGAATGAAAATGGAATGCAATAATGCAGGAAACAAGATGCAAATTGTGGGTGAAAATTTTGATTTATGTATACTTATATTAAATATTTAAAAAATGGATTTTGGAAAAATGGAAAGAAGAAACAAATAAAAGAAGAGGTTACGTTAAATTACTGAAATTCGTGCAGGAGATAGTAAAGTTTAACTAGAAGACATGTTGATTACTGTTTGTGAAATGACGTTTCATCAAAATAAATGTGAAAGGGATCAATAATATTATATTACAATGCAGTTAAACATAGACAAAAATTAAGATGATATTTAAGTGAAGTATGAAAATAAAACAGAGAGAAAATGGATGAATGAGCATGAAGATAAAAACACTATAATTGCTTTTAATTGTTTTGACATTTGATAAAATACAAAAATCGAAACTACAAAATGTTATCTAACATGAAGTATAATTTAAATTATAAACTACATACACATAAAATTGGTATGCTAAATAAATTGGCGGTTAGTTTGTAAGGACATTAGAACTACTTTACAAGTTTGGAAATATTGGATTAATTATAATTTTCTACCTCATTTTATATCAAACCAGCAAGTTGAGAGTTTGATGCAATACATCTTTTAATGTGATTAGATACTGTTAAAAAAGTTACTTGCATGCATGCCAGATTTATTAATAAGGTTTATCAAAATACGAGCCAAAGAATGTTACACATTACTGTGTGAATTACAGAAAGAAAGTAAAAAGATAAAAAAGGTATCACAAATGTCTTACTATATACCTGTCTGGAAAGCTGAAAAATAATTACAAATATTTTTGGAAATCAGTCAGCAATTTGATAAGGTCTTAGGTACTTTTCCTATAGTAAGACCATTACATTAATGGTTAGGTCTAAAAAGTAATAATTTAAAAAAATTTATTATATTGTTTACCTATACTTTATGACCATTATTGGTGTGACTTATAAACTTTGATAGGTACATAAATATAGAGACAAAAAGAGAGAAATATTTACATTGTACCTTAAGTATTTCACAAAAAAAAAAACTGTTAATAACAGTTCCTGGCCAATGATGCTGTCAGTGATAAACAAATAAATATTCAATTAAAGATGAATGATATCGATTTTATAAATATATGAAAAATAATTACATTTGAAAGAAGTTTTAAAACTATTACTTATAGATTTTTATAAAATTTCAGGAGGAAATTTCCTTTGTTGTTTTCAATCTTAAATTTAAATTCAATGGTTAGTTTACTGCACAGAATTTCTGGAGGTTATTGCAGAATACTCTACAATGATATTTTATAACTACTTTATTACTGAATTCACAGTTACTATTGTTATTTCACTTATATAGTTAAATATGATGAAGTAGGTACCTGCTTGGCCAAAGTAAGCTGCCACATGAAGAGCCGTGACTCCGAGCTTTTTACTAGAAACACGTAGAGATTGGGAAGACTTCATAACTTCTAAAACTTGGCCGTGGCCGTTCTGTGCTGCAAGATGGACTGCGGTGAATCCGGCCTGCAGAATATAAGATTGGTAAGATAAAATCCAGGCCTAGTAAGCTGCATCAACCAACTATGTATAAAATCAAAATATAGATTACAAGATCAACACCTACCTTATTCTCGTCAGTACAGGAAGCTCCAGCTCGCACCAACACTTTGACCACATCAGCGTGTCCGCCCTCGGCTGCCAGTTGTAGCGGAGTCGCCTCTGTGACTCGGTTGCGGGCGGATATGACACCCGTGCGGTCAAACTTCATCAGCTCCTCGATCACACGAACTGAACCCTGCATGGCTGCTATGTGGGCACATGTGTTGCCATCCTGAGGGCCATTGTGACAGTTAGGTTTGTTAGATACAGTGAAGTGATGCAAGATGAGAAGTCACTTTAAAAAGTTACTCAGTGTTAATGCATTAGTGTATTGATTCCCAATTGCTTTTAACTAATTAACTATGTTATAGTACTCTCCTCCAATTTTTGCTGGCCTTTTTCTAAAATATTAATATAAAATAGATACAACAAAAAAATTAACACAATAAAATAGATAGACAATGCAATCAATTTTGGTGAATGACTACAAACTAATTTATATTTTCATCATCCTTTTTCCTCCAACAGAAAATTTTGTTTTTGAAGATGAAATAAATCTCAACATTCTGCAGGAACGGAACACATTATTAACTTACTATGAAAAAAATACTTCAACAGCTTGATCCTACACAATACAGAGTGAGTAAAATAAGGTATGCAATATTTTTAACGCTGATAAAGTGGAATTTGAATCGTTTCTAGAGTTTTTGCCTCTAGCTAAGAACCTTTACAACTACGGTACTAGTTCAGTTAACGTTCTTGAACTTAAAAAAGAGATCTTCATATGGAACAAGAAACTAAATTGTTGCCCAGGGTTCTCAATACAAGTGGATTTGAAGTAACACTGAAACTATTTCTGGAACCTGTTGAACCAAAATATTTTAATATGCAATAAGGAACTAAACTGTAAGCACAGAACTTCCAATCATTGAAGTACTGTACTGTGAAACCCATGGATCATGGATCATTTTTAAACCCAAAAGTAAACTTTGGTAGCTACCATAAACTACATTTTTTGTTCTTGCCTTAGTGCTGGCCATCACCAAGCTAGGATGCTGTTGAAGGAATAGTTGGGCGACCTCAGGAAAGTTGTTCTGTGCAGCCACATGTATAGGCTTCTGTCCCTGGTCGTCTGTAGCGTCTATGGAGGCACCAAGCTCCAGCAGCAGGCGACAGACTTCCAGCTGACCAGCCGCAGCTGCAAGGTGTAGAGGCGTCTGCTTGCGGAGTGTCAACACATCTATCATGGCGTTGTGGTCTTGGATCAGGAACCTGGATATTGTATTAGATATCATAAATATTTCACAGAATCGGAGAATAATTCAGTTAATTTTTTTTAATGAGCGTTATCACCACATTGTAATAGAGGGTCCTATGAAACCTCACTTTTTAGGATGAAAATTCTCTTCAATATTTCATCATTTTAACAGTACTCTGAGGGCTACAAAGGGGCATAGAGCAACACCTTCACCCTCATTAAATGAATACAAATATTTGATTTTATTTTATCTTAGGAAAAAGCGCTTATCAACATGAAACTTCACATATGGATATTTTCAAAAATTTTAAATGAAACTGCACCAATACCAAACGAATATACAGTTCACATATTGAATAGTTTCAGAAATAAATGAATATTGAATAGGAAAAATCAGATAGTGAGAGATTTTGTGGTTACAAATCTTACACTATCTTTTGCGGATGTGTATGAAATGCTTACAAGTTGTTTCGGTCAAGTTACGAGCTTATCAATGATTATATTTCTAGTATTTTGGTTTTAAAGCACCAAATACATACTTGCAGAGGTTTGCAAATCCCTTCATGGCTGCCAAGTGTAGAGCCGTTCTTCCAACTCTGGACTTGCTGTTGATGAAAGCTTTGTTGGTCAGTAAAGCGTCACAGACCTGCGACAATCATGATCTTGTTACAAAAATATTTTTTCAAAGGATTCCGTTCGTGGCTCGTACCACCAATTAAATTTATCAGTAGAGTTCAGGCTTGTACTGTTGCATTCAAATAAAGATTGTGATTTACAAGAATAAGAAAATATGTGGTTCAGGAGACTGCCAACCTCTTAAATCAAAAACCTTTTTAAGGTTGAAATTAGAAATCTATACATACCTGTTGGTAGCCCTGTTCTGCAGCAAGATGCAGCGCAGACCTCCCCTCAATATCGAACACGTCCACTCTAGCGTGATTGGCCAGCAGAGTGTTAACCATATCTGTGTGTCCGTGATGACAAGCTATTAACAGCGGAGTCCAGCCCATCACATTCTGTCTGTTCAAAGCCTTCTGAGCCTCCGTAGAGCTCATGTGGGCCAGCATCTCCAGCAGGGTATCGTTGTTGCCAGTCACTGCGATGTAGTGGAAGGCTGACTCCATCATCTGGATCATGTGAATAGCTTCATTAGGATTACAGTTCCTCACTTAGGATTGGGAAACAGAGAAACTGATCAAGCAAGGAACATCGCCCAGAGAGTACTAATGAATAGTTTGTTAGCTTTAGTTAACTTTAGTTATAGTTTGTCAACATAGGGTGGATTCTTCACAGATGGAAAGCTAACTCATTCTGACTGCTTTGATTGAAGGTAGGCTTTTGAGCTTGAAAATGGTATCCATTCAAATTTATGTTGTATCCTTTTAATCATAATAGAATGATGAAAGCAATATAACTATAATAAGAATGAAGATTTAAAATTGTGTAAACCTACGTATAGTATTCAGATTGTAGCTATTAACTAGTTTTTGTTAAGTATCACCATCCTCAGACTATAGTAGCTGCATATTCAAATTTGTCATCTTTCCCTGAAGACTATCAAAAAGATTAAACAAACATCTACAATATTTTGAATAATGTTCTTTTGACGTCCTTAAAATCTGCAATAGAGCTTTCAAAAGGCTGGCACCACTTTTTTTGCCAAAGCTAGTCGCTGAATGTGTTCTGTACATTACCATGAGAACTCTCAATATTTTTCAAAAATTCAATCAAACCTTATACCATTTTGAAGAAAGATTATGTTATTTACCTTATGTGTTTGGATGTTAACATCTCCTCCAGCTTCCAATAGCAATCTCACAACTTCCTTATCTTCCAGTGGATTCTCTCTGTGGGCAATCTCAGCCTTCGTCACCTTGTTAGCAAACAAAGACATATACATCAGCAACACAAATCAACAACAGTTGAATTCTCACACTGAGAAGTGTTAAAATATTAACTTGTTTGAATGAAAAAAAATCCTGATTTTGTTTCTACTTAGCTTAAAAATATCAGTAGATTTTTCTTCACAGTTCTTGAGCTCTATATTGTATTCTCTCTGACAAAGAGTCCAAATTAAAACGTTGATATAATATTTAATTATAACAAAGTGTTCAGTAGTAGTAAAGTTAAATACTATAGTGAAATCAATGGCCAATTAGTAAAATAAAGTTATGGGCAGTGTGGGCACTGTCCAGATTAATGTCTTAACTACTTTGTTTTACATACTTTTGTTTGGTTACATTAGAGTTCTGATGTACCGCTACAGAGACTTCAGATTTGAACTATCACAGAGAAATAAAGTACAGAGGAAACACGCTTATGGGACGACCACACACTGTCAACTCTGGTATATTGTGCTGGATATATACTTGTGACGAGCTAGGAAAAGTCCAAACAGTGAGCACTGTGCAGAAATCCCTATTGCACAAAGCACAGTGTCTTCCTCCACCATGAGCACTGTAGTACAAGAGGACGAGCGAGGTCGTTGGTGTTGGATGTTGACATAGACACCAGCGACTAGTGCTAGACACCACTTAAGTGTGTGTTATCATAGTGTACCACTGAATGTTTCCTCTGTACCTTACTTCTATGTGAAGATATATCATTGATGATGGACTTGGATGATTACCTGTCCCGCGTAGTGTAGCGCTGATGCGCCATCTTCATTTACGGTGTTTGCAAACCCAGTCGATACCTCTGTACTGTTATTGGCTTTCACAAAGTCTAGGAGATGCTTGGCTATGTCAGCGTGACAGTTGGCACATGCTAGATGTAGAGGCGTCTCTCCCTTCTAAAATCATAGTATTTGTCGTTAAAAACAAATAAAAAAATTATGCAAAAAAGGAATAATATTACTTATTAACAAGAATTTACTCTCCATTTCTTGGTAAGCAAATGTATGAAAATTTTCCAAATTAAATCAAAATCTTAACAAGTTTTTAAACATGCCCGCAGTTTGTGACACGTACGTTATGGGCTCAAGATAATAATAATAATAATAATAATAATAATAATGTCTTTATTTAGCAAGCGTTTTTCAGATACAATATTTCTGCTTTTCAAAACAACTCTTGTCCTTAACGCTCCTTTCACACTATACGATTTCGCTCGTGCGGTTATTAATCGTATTTGTTGTATCGCATTGGAGCTTATGGCCCCTTTCACATTATACGATTACCAACCGTGTACAATTTTCACCCGCGTAGCGACCGTAGGTGCACACGGTTGGTATCCGACTCCCGCACGAGTAAAAATCGTGTCTACTACTAGTGGCCATGTGACCATATGGCCCCTTTCACACTACACGATTGTAGTCGTGCGGGAGCCCTCCCCAAGTGCAGTTTGTTGCGTATAGTTTTCAGATATTTTGCGTTTACAGTTGTTTAATTGTTTAATTATTGAGTTGAACTACCTGTGCAGTGCATACTGTATTTTATTATTTAGTTTTTGTTATTAATTACAGTTTTGTCTATATAGTTAAAATTATGAATGTGATTGATCTTAAAGCTTTAAACGATTCTCTTGAAATCCGAAAATAGTTAAAAAAAAACTTTTCTTCGTCATTTCTCAGGTCTTGAAATAATGTTTTAAACATCCCCACTTCCCCACGTCTCAAATTTAAATACGACTATTATTAAATTTATTTTTCTCCAATAAATTATCAAAGTAGCAATGATTTCCTTGCGATCCATACTACTTAAAACTTTCCACTGAAATGACAATGAACTCTGTTCTAGTGGAGTGGGGGTTAAGAATTTTTTAATCGTACGATTACAAATCGTGTAGTGTGAAAGCAACAGACCCACGATCATCTGCCCGTACGATTAACACTCGTACGAGCGAAATCGTATAGTGTGAAAGGAGCGTAATACTAATCAACTATCAACTAAAACTAACTATAAAACAATATATAAAGAATCTATGAAAACAATGCAAAACAATCCATACCAACAATCTATTTAACAATCTTAAAATAATAAAAAATCCATAACAAACATTACTTAAAATAACCTGAATCTGCAATACTAGGACTAGACCAATTAACAATAAAAACATACATTTACTTTAGACAACTACTTTTAGCAAACAAATATTCCTTTAACCTTTTTTTAAAAGTGTTCAAAGAGTTGGCCCTTATTACTTGATCAGGGGAGAGCATTATACATGGTAGGGCCGAAGTATGAGAAGGCACGCCTCCCCACTTCATGTCTGACTCTAGGAAAGTGCAACAACTTGTCCTGTCTCGTGCTGCAGACAGAGACATCTCGGCGAGAGAGAAGTTTCTCACACAGGTACTCAGGCTGGCCGTGCTCTATAGCTTTACGTATCAGGCTGCAGGTTAGGTATATTCAATTATCTTTAACTTGCATAATGTTTGCAGCGTTTCTGTAAGGAGTTATGTGATCTCTTCTCGTGCAATTATAAATAAATCTAAGTGATGCATTTTGTAGTCGTTGGATTTTATTTAGGTCGCCTTTTGTAATGCTATTTCCATATGCTGGAAGACAATAATCAAAAACTGACAATACCAAGGCCCTTACTAGTTTTATTTCGGCGTTCTCAGGTAAAATTCCTTTCAATCTATTTAGACTCCGCAGCCGGCCAAGGGTTCGCTGACACATGAGGTTTACATGGTCTGTTAGCGTCAGGTCTTCGTCAAGAATTACTCCTAGCGTTTTTAGTTTCTCGCATATTGATGGCTGTCCCATTTATTTTAACTTTACTGACCATGTCTTGCCTAATTTCGTTTAATACATGTCGGGGTGCAATATGGACAACTGAACATTTATCGTTGTTCAGTTTCAATCCATGGCTCTTTGACCAGACAGATATAGCATTCAGCTCATTATTAATTATATCAAAGGTTTTAGGTAACATAGGACAGGTGTATCTGGCAATCATCAGCATACAAATGTAAATTGCACGTTTTTACAATTTTTGTGATGTCAGCAGTGTATATATTGTAGAATATTGGACCCAAGCATGTTCATTGGGGAATTCCTCTTTCTTTTGACAGGGGGGATGATTTTACCGATGATTTTTGTTACCTGAGTTCTGTTTTTGAGGTAAGATTCGACCCATTTTAATCCTGTGTTATTAAATCCGAAATAGTGTAGTTTGGCTAACAACAATGTATGAGATAATGAATCAAACCAGAGAGTAATCCAACATGATCAAAGAACTACATTTACTATTATCTTTTGTTTCTAAGAGATCACTATACAAATTTAGAAGCGAAGTGCAAGTGCTATATTGTTTCCTGAAACCTGATTGTTGTTTTGGTAAAATGCTTTCTTTTTCGATAAATTCTGAAATCTGTTTGACTACAATTTTCTCTAGAACCTTTGATAATGTTAGCAGTACTGATATAGGTCTTAGATCTTTAACATTCGTCGGATGCTTAGTTTTAGGCAGTGGGCTCACAATACTTTCTTTCCAAGCATCTGGGAAGTATCCTGTAGCTAGTGACTGGTTTATCAAATAATTGCTGCAAGACAGTACGGACTCATTGATTTAATCATGAAAATATTTATACCATCGTTTCCCTTTGCTTTTGAGCTTATTTCATTTATTCCTTTTTGGACCTCTAGTTCTGTTACGTCCAAGATATACCAAGATATACTTGCACCCCTTTCCCCCATCCTTTGCAGGGGAATTTTTCTCGTTCTTGCGCCCCCAACAAACCTAAAACCTCTTCATTTTGTGTGTTTCCTTCCGGATTACATATCAAATAATATACAAGAGGTCCAATAACCTTATTTTATAAAATAAGGTTATTTAACCTCTTGCTCCCAGGCCAACCAGGCCGATTTTATAAAGGAATTTAAATTCATAAAAACAAAATTAACTATACAATGATTCTAGTGGCTCACTGCTCACTTCATCTATGATTATTAGTAACGATTGATGGAGAGAATTTTGTTGACATTGCACTACTACTTCTCTTAGTGAATTAAAACAAAGAGTGTTTTAAAAATTAAAAGCACACGTTCTTAGCTAGTTGCTGAACAATTGATTTCCAGTTTTTTCAATCAATGAACTAGCAAATTTGAGATTTCCTTCGTACCCAGCTTCTACACAGAACCAAAACTATTTAGGGTCAATTTAGAAACTTAGGTTCTGTTAAGAATGTGTGTCACTTTAGAAAGTATAAGTCAAAGTGTGATTGATTCAATAAAATCTTGTTTGTTTTTAAGTTAAAAACCTTACACTACAAGAGACTTTTATTGAACACATGCAGAGTTTCATGAGGGATAAAACAGGTAGTTATGGACTTTGGCAGGATTAACTCCAGAATCCAGTATTATAAAATGGTTGACACTCTTGGACAGAATATGAACAAAAGTAAAAGTATAAGTCTTCCATTAAATAAATAATGAAAATGTATTTGTTGCTTCAAATATACCTGAGACCAATAGTAAACATTTTTTTTAAACTAGTAATTCTCTAGTTCAGAAAAGCTCTGAAGATGTACCTTGGATTTAAACATAGGGTCTCCGCCATCCTCCAGGAGTAGAAGCAGAGTGGCCAGGTTTCCGTTGCTTGCCGCCACATGTACGGGAGTCTGTCCGTCTTCTGTGGCTAGGTTAGGTCCAGCTCCTGACTTGAGCAGCATCAAACCACACTTCTCTCCGTCTTTCACTCTTGAGGCTATGTGTAACGGGGTCTCCTTGTTTTTGCCACCTGGACGAGAATATTATTATAGTAAACTAGCTGACCCGGCGAACTTCGTATCGCCTAAGTTATAGGTTTCCCCTAAGACAGACCGATGGAAAGAAAGTACCGTTACGTTTAATTTTCAAGATGATCTCGTTCGCATCGCTCAATCACGTCCTGGTTGAAATTCGTTCGCTACGCTCACTCACCTTTGGGTTGGAGCTCGTTCGCTACGCTCACTCACCTTTAGGTTGGAGCTCGTTCGCTGCGCTCACTTGCCTTCAGGTTAGCTCGTTCGCTACGCTAACTCGCCTCCAGGTTGAAGTTCGTTCGCTATGCTCACTCACCTTTGGGTTGCAAATTAGCTGTTGTCATAAATGTAAAAGAAATAATAGTGCTGCACCCTGTTGGTAATCCTTGTAACTTTAATGCTATTGAACATCATAGAACACAGAACCAACTTGTTTAATTGAAACAGCTGTTAAGATTCATTAATTCCATTTCTCATAAGGTTAACATGGGAAACTCCAGAGCCACTGAGGAGTTTGCAGACAAACACTGTGACACGAGAATTTTATATATTAGATTATGTACCAATATATGATATAAGTAAACAACTGAGCAAAATATGATCAAAATACTACTGAATACAACCCTAAAGTCCCCAATGTGAGTGATGGATGAGTGTAGAATGGAGTAAAGACCAGCTGTTTCTATAGCCCAGGACATTTATTGAAACACCGATGTTCAAAAAGAGCTGGTTTAAAAGGTAATGCTTATGAGAAATGTTAAGGAGGAACAGGGAAAACATTCATATTTAGACTTACGGTTATGCTGAGTTTCAGTAATTGAATATTTATTAATTAAATATTAATAACAACTTGTTATATAGTAATTGGGTCGCTCTTGCAAAAGTATCTGTTCTTATAGGGTAAAAACCATTATTATATAAAACCAAAATTCCAGGCTAACTGGTCCTAAGGAGGAATGAGAGATAAATTTAGATCTTTTTCAAAGTAAACACACACAAAAATACAGAAACCCAGAACAAAGAAAATGTCTCCTAAAAATTACATTTATTTACATTCACAGACAAACCTTGTCATATTATTTATGTATTATTTACATGGATAACCTTATCCCTTACCCTTTACTAATTAACAAATAAAAAAAATCTTTAGGATAAAAAACACTATTTAATTTACACTGTTCTCTTCTTTTTAGTAAACCAGGTCCTTTGGGGAACAGTTACCACATACTTATGTACTGTAAGGGGTCTTACCTCTTATATGAACATCAGCCCCATAACCCAGCAATGTCTCCACAACTGCCGGTTTGCAAGACTCCACAGCAATGTGCAAAGGGGTGTAATTGTCCTGTAAAATAATCCTGATTGAAACAAGTTCATCCGACCTCTGACATCAGGCTTTGCAGGGAACATGCTATGTTTGCGTATATGTAAATTAAATAAAAAATGTTTACCTATGTTTTATTTAGGATTTTTTCCATATTCATTTTTTATCATAAATCTGCTAGCCTATCTGTTAAATCTACAGAAAGTAACATTTTCAGAACATAAAAAGGTTTTAATTTGTAACCTATTTTAGTGATTAATTTTTTTAACTTAATATTTAAATTGTAAATTTGTGCATTTTTTTACCTAAATCCTTTCAATTCAATCAATCAATCAATCAATAAATCTTTATTCAATACATACAAAACAAGTGTACATGAATGTATCATCAACCTAAAACTACTTCACATGATTTCACCTGCTTCCCTAATTGCTTAGTCATACAGTTTTTTTGTTACAATGTTCAAAATTTTTGAGTTTTTTTTTTAAGTTTATTTTTGAATTTATTTACGCTACTTTCGTTTTTAATACTGCTGGGGAGGGAATGCATGAATTTAATTCCAATATATTTAGGACTTTCCTTAAATTTTTCTTATTTATGTTTTTTAGTTATGATTAATTTTAAGTTTGGCATTTCTCAAAATCATTCCCTTCTGAACGTTAAAGTATTAATGATTATTTATTTAGCAAACTCATTAGTTGTGGTAAGCAATAGCAGACACCTCATTAACAAACCTCAACAAAATATAAAACAAAATTGAAATTTTTTATATTAATTCGTTTACATACGAGTACATTGATATTTAGTTATTGATGGTTATTGTACATGTTTTGTGACATAGGCTACTCCATATTGTATGCGGCCTATAGTAGATAGTTATCATTAAGTTGTTGAACGAGGAGGCAAAAGTGAATGTGAATATAACTAAAAATATGGATGGATGATTTTATAATATATTTTCTTTAAAAAGTCTAATGGAAATAAAATAATTTAAAAGAATTTTACTTGTTTTTAGTAAATTGTAAAATAATTACCAGAATAATAGTTTGAATAACAAATATAAATTCAGCTTTGCAAAAGACTAATATTGGTTTTATATTACCTGTTGTCAGTTCCAAATTGTAACTTTCTTCAATGCAATATGTTTGACAAGCTTCCATTTTCAAGCATACAGTCGAGGAATGTACATTAAAAAATCCCCTTGTATAGCTTCTCGTTCTGAAGTCATGTGTTAAGTGTCATGAGCGTAAACCAACAACTAAGCTGTACAAGGTTTTTTATGTACATTCCTCGACTGTATGCTTGAAAAAGGCAGCTCAACGAAACATATAAAATTGACGAAACTTACAATTTGGAACTGACTACAGTTAATATAAAACCAATAGGTAATAGTCATTATTACAGTTCGGGGACTACTACAATGAATTTTAATATGCAAAAGGTTTAAAGAAAAATGTTAATTTCACTATGCTAACTGTAGTAAATAACTTATCCTATCCAAAATCTTTGTTTTATAATAGTAATGTAACTAAAAGTTTGAAAATAGCGGACAGAAATAGAAGAGACAGACAAGTCTGACGTTTTGTGAGAAAACTGACAAAAATAAAAATATTTGTAGAGTAAAAAACATTTATAGCATTGTGTGTGTTTCATATGTTGATTGGTCAAAATGTGAGAAGTGTGAATTGTGTGATGTCACAAATTGTGTAAGTGGTAAAATACAACCATTTTAAGTAAAAACTTACATCCTGGTGCAAAGGATCCTAAAAACATACAAATCGATTATCCTAACTGTATAAAATCTGCTAAAACCCATAAATATAACTCTAAAATAAATAAAACTAATTGTTAATGAAATACCAACTGCATCAAAATAAAATTAAGATAAAAAAAGGTTAACATACAACACTTTTTGGGTATAGGATTATAATGTATACCTATAGATTTAAATGTTTTTCGGAAAACCGAAAAAGTTATAAGTAGGCCATCAACCAGTTTTATTTAATTTATAAAAGTAATAACAAAATCTTGAATATTAGTGTTGGTATTCAGGCAGTTTTTTACAACTCAGTTCTAGGCTCATAATAAAACATTTACAAAGTAATTAATAAAAAAAACAATCTATAGTTATTCAAAGTAAGAGCCAAAATAATATACTAAACTTAAGATGAAACCTGTATACATTATTTTAAAAAAACCAAAATCTGTAAATCTTTTAATGATTTTGAATCAAACAAACTTAAGATAGTTACAAAAAAAAAAATAATACAAATACTAAGTTTATGCCAAATCGTCAATATAGTTAATATGTTATGGATTAGTAATTTTATAGCAGTGACGCTTAATTTTGTACCATCATAAGTGGAGGAAAATAACTAATATCTTACGAATAATAGCCTAATCAAATCTATAAACCAACTATTTTTGATAAAAAGACTATATCAAATCATAAAAGTATGTACACCATTGAACTAACTACACATAATTAAATATACATAATTGAATATACATAATCAATGGTACAAATAATCACAATACGGAACTCACCGAAGTAGTGACGTCAACTTTCTCCCCCTTTTGTAGAAGAGTGTTAATGATTCCAACATGGCCGTACCTTGCTGCTGTGTGTATGCTGCGAGCACCGTTCTACAATACATATAATAAAATAGTTTAAATATAAATATACAATTGGAATTAAACTGTAAATTAAACATCACTGTTGTTAAACGTTTGTTTGAATCCTAATCACTTTTGTGGAGCAAAAGTCAGAACACGTAAACCCCATTACTAGATCCATAACAAAATGCAACCACATAATTATTACCATAGGTATGGTTGGTAATTTAACATTTATCATATGTTAAACAATGTACTGTACAAGAAAAGCTTAACAACCTGTCAATCGAGCGTCTCCTTATTAAAAAAGTGTTCCTTAAGTTTCTAACACGGAAGTTTTACTATTCTGTGAAAGCCACTGCCACCTGGATTAAATAGTTTTAGAGCAAAGTTTGATTCATGTCCGACCGGTAAAAGATATTCATATTGATCTAGTTTGCTGGCATCTTGCCAGAGAAATAGCTTGGCTCGTCTGTCTGTTTGATTTATTATGAACAAAATATAAAGAATTAATATAAACTCAATTTTCTTGGATTAATTGTGAATCTTTGTAGACTGGTTTAAGAGAAAGTCTAAAATTACGAACTTTTACGAATCTTTTTTTAAGTGTAAGATTCTTGGTACAAATTATCAATGTCAGATACGCAAACACAGTTTCTGATTCCTCAACTTAGTATAAACTTGTTTAAATTTGTTCTGAACTGCATTTAGTTTATTTGTATGACTAACTAGGTGTGTTTAGTCTCCTTTTCTTGTTTTATCAATTTTTTTGGCTATTTTAAACAAATAATAAAAATTGTTATCTAACCCGATCCTTAAGGTCCCGGGTTCAAATCCTTCCAAGTACCTTTGATTTTTACCTGTGAAATAATGTCTGATCCTCTAGGCCTAGCCTTAAACAGTTTCAATCTAAGACAGGAAGGAGGTGAAGGTAAGACATAAAATATATCAAGGAAAGGTAATATACAAAGTCAATTTAATCACCTTGTTAGGCATATGAAGGTAGACACCCTTTTTGAACAGCATCATGGCACAGTCAGCATGGCCGTTGAGAGAGGCTATATGCATGAGCGTGCTGCCATCCTTGGTCCGCTCGAAGATGGAAGCCTTGAACTTGTCTGCCAGCAGCTCTATGATGGAAGCATGGCCGTTCTCTGCCGCAAGGTGCATTGGGGTCCGATCTGCGGGGAGAAGAAACGGAAGTTCTTCATTATTTTATCAGAACTTCATTGATATATAAGTTCAAAGTTGACGAGTCAGTGAGAAAAGTTTATGACTACACTAAATGTTATCAGTTTCATTCACTCTTGTACTGTACCGGCTCACCCCTTTTGCTTTGCTGTATATCTTCCACACATATGGCTGAGGTCTTAGTGAATGTACAAAATTCATTGTTATGCCCCTGAGCTGGAAATAATTATTGTAAGACTTATTACTTACGTCATTAGCTCAAAATATTTTATGGCGAATCTCAGTTCATTGTCACAGTACAGTGTTGAAACATGAACTGAGCTTCGCCATAAAATAATTTGAGCTAATAACGTAAGTAATAAGTCTTACAATGAATGTACAAATTTAAGGTTAAAAGAGGTCGCAATATATATAACTATTTTTCTATGATCAAAGCATCATCCCATTCCATTCTACCCTCTTTCATCACACACACATATTCAGCTTAAAATAGGCAACATTAAGTCCCTGATGATTTTGCAGAAAAATGTTAACCGACCTGAACAAAAACAGCTATACTTACTCTATGAATTACCGAACCCACTAATTAAATTCATGTGATGTTTTTCATGGTGCCTACCTTGATTATCAATAATGGAAGCACTGGCACGGACCCCGTAGAAATACTTGACTAGAGTTTCATCACCTTCAGCAGAGGCAATGTGTAGAGCTGTCTGCCCTTCCGACTGTTCAACAAACAACATACAATAATGCTACTATCCCAAAGTAGGTCCCAGATTAAAACTATATCTTCAAAGTATATTAAAACAAAACATAAATCAATAATGAATATCATAAGAAACCAATGTGTTGTGGAGGGTAAAAGTTTATAGTTTGGCAATCCTGATTCTGTTTCTTCCTCAACGATTATGTGTTGTTGTTATATTTACTTTCGTTAAGATGTAATAGATCATCGTTATGGCTATTACAAGCTTGCAACATTTTTTTGTAAGCCTGCTAGTCATTGATGCTTGATTGAAATCGATGCTTTTATTATTACGTTAAAAGATTACTTCAATTTTAATACAACTAAATAATTTTCAACACAACTAAACTTTACTAGTTTAATAGTCCAGTTATTTTTCGAAACATATTTTTTCCATTTCTTAATATATGTTTTCGGGAATATTTATAAAAAAATGGCTAGTAGAAGATTTTGAAAAATCAAAGATAGGTAAATTAATTGACAAATCTACAACATATTAACTGGTTAAAACCCGACTCTACAAGAGACCGAAGAAGTTAGTACTAGGCCTACATGGAAATGAAGACACAACAGTTCAATGCTAGAACAACCTCAAACATTCAACTAATATATTTTTAGGAAAACAAATGCATCTACTGATGATATCAAAACATACAGTTTGAAGATTATAATCTACTTTGTTCCCTAAAAAAGTCGAATCTCACCAAATTTCCTATATTTTATTTAGACCTACATAAGTACTGAGACGCCTTTAATGACCATTAAAGGCGTCTTTAATGGACACTTTAATGGTTTTGGCACAATCCATAAGCTATAGGAAGCTTGCAAGTAAGATAGCGAAATGTACAATGTTGCCAATAATTAAGGAAATGATCTTGGATTAAAACTCTATTTTTTAGTTACAAAATTGTTGAAAAGTTTTCAAAGAAATGCTGTAATAAATATTGTATAAATATTTCAAGTTTTAACGATGTAATAATAAAGGTAATAATAAAGAAAAAAATGTTGGCCATTTCTGACACATTTGGTATTGTCCATGATCGTCTGTGATTATGTAGAGAATTATTATCTTCAAACATCTAAATGTTTAAGTTTTGGAATATTGAAAAAGTTACATTCGGACAGGCCAAATTACTTTAAGAATTTAAGACCACAACAACTATTACCATAATAATGGATTGCACAGGCTTTGTTAGGAGTAATCACAGCAAACAATTTTACTGAACAAAAGTTTTGAGGTTAAGTGAGACAAAAACGCTGCTGTCACCCATCTTGCTTGCTACAAACGATCGTCTTTTTTACGGGTCGTTGTTTTCTTTTAGGAGTAATAATTTTCAGCGCAAGGCGTGCTTTTCGTGACAGATAACAATAAGTTTACTTTTCCGGTTGTGAGTTCTGCTGGAAATCTCGACACCAGTTATTAACAATGGAACTTTACGTTGTTTAAGAGATTTACCTTTGTAAGAAAAGTCAATATTATAAAAACTTTCCCATGCAAATTATTTTCTAATTTGTTGTAAACACCATACCAAACAACATTTTCAACAGTTTCAAACCGATATTAAAAGCGAGCATTTTTGGTGATTTCAGGAAAATGCCCCTACATGTTAATACCATTCGGCTTAGTGGTAATAGTAGTATTAGAAGGTGTAGTTGGCACTTAACTACAGGAGTATTAGGTAATTAAACCTAAATATTTTTTTTTAATTTATGGCAAATACAGTTAATATTGGTTTTATAGCCTGTGGATTGTCACAAAATATAGATAAACAAATACCTGCTAATGATAATCATTCAGAAGCTGTAGCCTCTTCTTCCTGAAGATTAATCTATTCGAGTAATCAGAAAACCCGCCACTTTTAATGTATCAGAACGGTGAATGTTATGATGCTCTTTTTTCTGTTTGTGTGTTCCCTTACGTAATTTTTGTGACGACGGTTTCTAGCCAAATATACTACAGTAGACGAATAGTCTTGTAGTAAAACATGATAATGTAATCGATTCGGTACCAAAACTATACCAAGTTTGATGGAACCAATCTCGTAACCGTCTACCTGTGATGGCTCGGGTGAGTCCCCTGGTAGACGGAGGGTAAGAGAGGGTCCATCATGCAGCCTATAACCTCGTACTATTTTAATTATTACCCCAAGCAAGTATTTACACCATAAAACAAACTAATGTGTTTACTCACATTTTGCGAGTCCACATTGGCCCCGTAGTCCACCAGGATGCGCACCATGTCCACATCCCTCCTCCGAGCAGCCAGATGTAACGCGGTGTCGCCGTTGTCTGTGGTCGCCTTCAACTGATCAGCTGTTTGCTGACTCAGCAGTTCTCTGCACATAGACTGGTTCCCCGCCTCGACAGCAAGCAGCAGAGGTATCTTCCCTTTCTGGAAATTTTTAACGGCAGAACTGAGCAAACCCTTCCATCCGGGACCCTGGGAATCCCTCTTCCCCGCCGCCCCCAGTGACGGTATCCCAGCCTGAAGCTTGTTCTTTGTGACAAAGTCATTGTTGAGAAGAGCCGGGATCAGATTGTTCGCCAGATCCGGTTTTTCTACTTCCTTTTTCTTCTTCCACATTATTGCAAGTGTCCGGTTTTCCCTACCGTTCTACCGAGGATCAACAATTTTCGCGCGCGTTGCTTGATCATTGCGTTAGGTGAACTCAGAGGTGTAGAGCATTTCGGGTGGTTCTCGCTTGTTATAAACTCAACTTTTTTTGTTAGAGAATTTAAAGGGGTTCACACCTGTGAATGCGCTATTTGCACACGCTTTACTCAAACGGTACAGTCAATTCGTAGGGTGCTTGAGAGGGTAGATCTCGCATTGAGTCAGATTAACTTATAGCCATTTGATCATGACGTACGTCAGAAGTTTGTCAGTTGTACTCTAAGCCCAGCTATCATCAACGATTAAACTTTTCAATAATGATCCTAGATCGAAATCCAGCTGATCTTTGACAAGAACAAAGCTACAAAACAACCATCCTACCTCATACCTCATTCAAGCATGGCTGAAATACATCGATGTTTGATTGAGTATTGAACATATATCATCCTTGAGAGTTTGAAAATCGACTTAGAAGAATAAGGACAGTGACCCACTACTTGTAGGATGCAAAATAGAGAAAACTCACCTTAATAAGATACTCAATAACCTTCTTGTCACGTTTCATCATTAATCCAAGTGTTGTGGTGGACGAGCATCCCTGTACGAGGAACACAACGATAGATAATCACGAGGAAAACTGGGAGATATTGGGGAGGTTAGTTGCATGCCAACTGTGGGAGCGCTGGCTTCGGATTGGGTCGGCTTGATATGTATATCAACCTGGCAACTCTGAAATTGGAGTGTCAATCATAACATTGGCTGACCTGGTATAACCTTCCTTACCAAACCAGTGAATCGATGATACATGTGTGTCTTTGAAAACGAGGGTTAAGCGGTGGTGAGCGAATGTAAAAAGGGGAAATTAGAAGATGGTGTTATTGATGAAATCTGGTACAAAACTAAGGCCATTCTACAAAATTTGCATGCATATTACGATTGATCGTGTTTTAATTTGATAAAAAATCCATAATCTTGAAATTTTTTTACCCTCTTGTGATAAGTTCCCTACAAGCCTTAAATGATTGCTACTTAACACTCCTGTGTAACATCGCCTGTTATAACTAAACACCTATATGATATTTTATTTGTTGTATTGCGACATACAACTAACGGTCACATTGTCAACACCAAATTAGGACAATAACACATGCTTATGGAAGAGATCCAATAAACTGCTGTCCCCGACAAAAGTCTTGGAAATCACAAAAGACTGCGAGCAGGAACAACACTCCTTGACACCAAGAACAACACTGACACAAAACCAAATTCTGCACCACTTGTCTGCTCGAAGATCCGAGAATTGAACAATTCAAACACGCCACCAATCCCTGCACATGTGACCACCCCACTTGTGCCAATCTCACCACATGAACACGCGGATACGGCGTTACCAACCTTTCGCACTCGCTAAATATTACTGAAAAAGATTTTGACAAAGCTTAACGGAGAGGAATAAAATGGCGGACCGGATTAGGGAGGGGTTGAGGGGGCGGAGGTTGGTATTGGTCGAGCTTCCTATAACTGTGAGATACGATACAGTCTATAATAGAATAGAGGAATGGCACTACTACCCTCTCAGTCCTGGCACGAACACCATCTTGTCTTTCTCGCTCTTCCTCTTTGTTTTATTGGACGCTTCTGCGAGCTTTGCAATTAGGGGGCTTTGAGTAGTGAACAATTCATTTGTACACGGAGTTGCTAAAACATCATGGATAATTTTTGTTTGTGAAAATCCTGTTATCATATAATTAGAGCACAGACAATATAATACTTTAATGTAAGTAATATTAAAGTTAAAGTATTATATTGTCTGTGATTAGAGTATTCATTCAATAATTAATTAGATCTTAGGGTCACAAAATGCAGTCGAAGTGAAACATGCGTGTTGAGTATTGTGTAAGTCATCACTTAATAATTAATAAAGTAATTTCTGTGGTAATACTTCGTCAGAGAAAACTTAAAAGGTAGACGGCCGGAGATTCAGATTCCCATCTTGTTTACATATACATATAAGACATTTCTATAACATAGGATGTTCTGATATACAACTGAAAAAGTCAGACGTAGCTAACAAAAACAACATATATAACTATATATTGTTTTTATGGTGGGGAATGCTTGCAACAATGCCTTATGCATCAACAATGTAACAATATGTAACAATATCTTTCGATCATAGAAGTATTTACGTTCAAAGATGTTTTAACAAAATCTTTCGTAACACCATCTTGTCCGATAAAAAATACAAGTAAGAGTATAACACACCAAGAATCAAACATTCAACAATTAATTGATTTATTGTATAATTTTGCTGAGAGTTTTAATTGAATAGATTACATTTTTTTGTTTTTACCTTTAAATAAAAGTTATGCATATTGTATTAAGCTATTAAGGAGGGGCTCATACTACATACAAATCTTGAAATTAAAATTATTAAAAATGTTTAGAAGAGAATATTGTTTGAAATAGTAAAACACAACACAGATTTTTAATATCATTGGATTAACATCTTGATTTGCTACCGTATTATTACAAGTATATAAACATTTTTGTCTGACATTTAAATTTATTGACTGATTGCCAGTATGCTATCACTTTTTTTATTAGTTTAATCTCCATCAAATAATGTATTGGTCTTTGTGTTGTGTTTGGTTGGTTAAGATGATGTATCATAAGGATCGTTTTTACTATGCTTAGTATATAGTATAGTATATCAAAGATTGTTTAAACCAATGGTATTGTACTTAAACTACTTTTGTGTTGTCACTGAATCAAAATGTCAAAGCATTTATGTACTAAAATTGAATTCATAATAAATATCTACGAATTAGTATATACTCATTGTTTGTGGCATACGAAAGTAGACAACTGGCCAAGTTATACACTGTTTTTTTCCAAAAGAAAGTATATGAACCTTATACAAAGTGTTTCATTATTTAATTACTGGTTTTTCGTTTAGTAATCTATTTATGAGAGTTGAGGTGAACCTCTTCCAGTTTGGCCTACTTAAAATGTTGGTGTATACAAAACAAAATTGTATTTTACAGAATCTCTTTAAGTTGGTGGCTTTATATTATATGTTTTTAATCTAAAACTATCAGAAGTTGTGGATTCAATATGCTCCAATTTTCTCACCTTTTTTGAATTTGTCAAATAGTTGAATTTATTGTTTTTCAGATGAACTAAAGACTCTTCTAATCTTTATGGTGTTTACTGCTGACATAAACCTCACTCATATACATTGAGTAAGGTTTGATGATCTTGATTTAATTTTCATATTTCAAGAACTAGTTCAACTAAATAAAATGATTATTGATTGACCTGCAGATTAAAGAAGTTTACAATGTCAAATAAAACCTAGAATAGTTTAATAATTTAATCAATATTATTAATTGTATACTGGTTTATAATTTCCGATTTATAAACAATAGTTTACTATTTTACAAGGTTACAACAATGGAGAAGAAATATTTGTGACATTGCGCACTGTCTACCGGAGAATGGTGAAACTACCTCGACTACCCTGTGTACCCTACCGAACATCGTGTTGAGTTATTTTCTTGTGTGATCTCGGAATATTTTCAACCCGGTAGTAAAAACATTAGAATATTAGATTTTGAAATGTCAGTTTTGTTTTTAACGGATTCAAAAGATTAAGATGGTTTTTTATAAACATAACTACGGATAATGAGTGTCAACTCTTTATTTTGTGATATAATTAACACTTATAATGAAATAGAATATTTACACTTATTTATTTATTTTGGAATATTTATTTAAAGTGACACTTAATGATATGAAGTGAAAAACATGATTTGCTTAGTATCACTTGATATGGTTTTATAAAACGTACTTTATTTGAAAAATATAAAGCTCTTTGTAATGAGACATTTCAACTTTGATACAAAACTATACACCTACTTTAGCGAGGTTAAATACCGAATGTAGAAAAGTAAAACATTTCAATTATAGTTTTTAATGCAATAAGAATGCAGCATAAATTTGTAATGTTAAAGGTTAGAAGTAGAAAAGTAATTTTTAATTATTCTACTTACTTTTTTAACCGAGGCATGTTAAATAAAAATAAAAAAAAACCATATTTTTACCTACTACTTTATATAACAGAGTACTGTAATACAGTTCTTATGTTGTATTACTATGTTACAAAACGTAGTAGCTAAAAACAATATATAAGTAGTGAAGTAGATTAATATTGTGAAATAAGTAGGTCCAACAATATAGAACAATTATTAAGTCACACTGTGAAATGTTACAAAATAAGATATTTATTGATTTTAATCGATCAAGCCAAACGAAATGGTTCTATAAAATAATATAGAGCTGTAAAATTCTTTAATAACTTCAGTTGTCTGGTTTAAAGTATTTTCTATCCCGTTGTAACATTTTTGTAGCTGAAATAAAACACTGAATTATATAGACATTCTCTAAAATTCCTTTTTCTTACACACTGTGGTGATACATTGGCTAGTTTTAGCTTATGATAGGTTAACCAAAAATTGGTTATCTGAAACGGCTCTCCTCCCTTAATTTCGGTTAACCGGGGTACTACTGTATTTAAATCGAACAAGTCAATAATGTTTTACTTTATAAGATGGGAAACAATTCCGAATTGAAACGTTTTAGAGAGTATGATCGTGTATTATTGTGTGCTAGTAAAAATATTTTTGTAAACTTGTAGCATTGACTAGTTGTTGTACCATAATAGTAATAGCCAATGCTTGTCGTAGTGGTTAACTAAAAAGATAAAAGCATACGTG